ATTTCTCTCAAATGATGGAGGCTCCCACGAATCTAGGGTTTACAGTTTCTCTAGGATGATATGGAGGCTGAGGGAGGGGCATAACTCCCTTTTATATAGGATACAACTCCCAGAATTAGGGTTTTCCTCGCACAGACCAGACTCGCCGAGTCTCCTTGGTCGACTCGCCGAGTCGGTCACTTACTCCCCGACTCGGATCCCGCTCGGACTCGCCGAGTCCCTCCTTGGACTCGCCGAGTTGACCCCTAAACTTAGGGATTTCTTTCCTTTCTTGGTCTTCGAAACTTTGGGTGTTACATATACCCCCAAAATACCAACCACATATACCATACACATATCATGTCATATCATAACCGAACATAGAACAACCATGCTCTTCGGGTCTACTGTGTGACTGGTCCGCCTCACCGGGCATTCAGTCCACTTGGTCCACCCTCCGAGTCTAGCCATAACCATCGAGTCTGCAGTGTGGTTGGTCCGCCCGCACCGGCCTTCAACCCACCCGGTCCACTCTCTGAGTCTACAGTATGACTGCTCCGCCCGCACCGGGCCTTCAGTCGGTCTGGTCCACTCTCCGAGCCTCGGCACGTTTGGTCCGCCCTCGTGGTGCCTACAGCCTATTCGGACCGCTCCTTGGGCCTTCGGGATAACCGGTCCGCCCTGGGTATCTTGGCCTACAACACAAAGCAGGACCCGCCTCAACCCAACCCCAGTCCAACAACCATGTGCACGTAAACATACAATCATATAACAATTCACATCCAAGCATACCGATCGAGCATATCACATAACATAACATCATCCTAACCAGGATACCAACCTAACCGGGTCTCTAACATATACCACCCTAACTACCAGGATGCAAACATAGCAAAGCAATAACATAACAACGATACCCGGATTACAATTCGATAAAGGGTTGACCTTGGTGCCTTAGACCCTGTCGATATAGTGAGGATAACTCACCTTGCAACTGCCGAAATTCTGGACCGAAGAAGCAGATTCTCGACCCACCGACTCACCAAAAATCCCGAACTATCCAAAGTAGCAAAGTAACCATTAGTCCAAGCATAATATCCTTCCAAGGGTAAATTGACCAATTTACCCTTAACTCAATCTGGTCCATGACTAAGGCCCACAACACTCATCAAGTCCATCATCCTCTTATTAGGCCAAGGCCCAAAGTCAAATTCTCATACAAAGCCCAATATTGGCCCAATTTACTAAATTGGGTCCACCTCTACAAACAGGCCTAGATCCAAGGTCTATGATAACTATTGGGCCCAAAATACTCCATCCATACTATTCAGTCAAGGCCCAAGCTTTATTAGTCCATAGACAGCCCAATCAAGTAAGGCCCAAAACTGAAAACCCAACAGAGGGAGTACGTTGGGCGTACATCCATGCTCGCCAACAGGAATCGGGACACATACCCACTACGTTGGGCTAACTATCATATACGCAGGGCGTAACCTCGCTGACCAACAAATCCACATAAGTTCTTAATGACTTAAGCTCTTCAGCCCAAACTTCATATCCATAGACCAAATATGCCTAGGATTCATAAAGTCTCAAACTTTATTACCTGGGACATCCATAAAGCTCTTAATCCAAGGTCTTAATTCATCAAGACCTACTTATATCACATATGAGACAACCAAAGCCCTTGGAACCTCATTTTTCTTACTCAAGACCTCTCCTAAGGCCTGAAAGGACAGCTAATCTCGACCAACTCGAATCATGCATCAAGATGAGGTTTTTGGGACAAGAATGGTATCAAAACTTCACAACATATAGATCTACACAATATGATTGTCAAGCTAGAGACTTTTTACCTCAAAGGGCTCTAGAAGATGATGCCTTTCCAGATCTACAAGCTCCAGCCACTCAACTTCTTCTTTGATAACTCCATATTTTCCTCTTTCAAGCTTAAACCACCGAGATGAGCTTTCCAAGGCCAAGATCTCTAGAAATGAAGGTTGGAACGTTCTAGGGTTTCTTCTGGGGCTAAGGAGGCTGATATGGGAGCTAGGGTCGAAGCCATAATGTTCTATATATAGTGGCTCACCCTCACATTAGAGTTTAAAGACTCTGGACGTACACTGGGCGTACATCCAGTATGCTGGGCGTATGCCCCCCACAGACCCACGTTCATTTACCCGATTACGATGGGCGTAACCCAGCCTACGCTGGGCGTACCAGACGTGTCCCATTCTCATGCATGACTTTCCTCATCAACTTTTCTCATTAAGGCCATAAATGACAATATCTTTAAAATGTCATAACTCCTATATTTTAAGCCCATTTTCGACGAACTTTATATCCACGCGAAGGTGGCGAGAAGCCTTATGCTTCTATCAACATACACCGGTCCGAAACCTTCTCGAGTACAACCCACTACCCTTAAAGAACCAAAACGCCCTTACTCTTGATCCCAAGGATCCATGAATCATTAGTCTTAGAACGGGGCGCTACACGATGATAGTGACAATAACTCAGATTAAGAAAAAAAGGACTTGATATTAGAGATGAAGTGGAGGGATATGATTAGCTTCGTTGCAGATTTATTGGCTATAGTTTATTTATATTTAATATTATGGGGGGTTTTATGTGGTTTATTTTGAAGGAACATAAATAAGTTTCTATTTTTTGAAATAAACAGTTATATTCCTCAATATAGCCATAAAATAACAATGTGTTTTGAAAGTACATTGTCAAATGTTAGATTATACTTGTGTAGACCCATTTTCACGTATGGTTGGCTATGCATAGTTGTTTTCCATGTCACAAGTAAAAAATGTTTGAAGATACTTATATGTGACAAGCAAGGTAATTGAACAAATAATACAAAATTTTTTGTCTATAAATAGGTCCTTCAACACTATATATATTTACCGATTTTAGTGTAATTTCTACACATTTCAATAATATCAATAACCTTAAATTTGATATATATATATATATATATATATATATATATATATATATATATATATATATATATATATATATATATATATATAAATTGGTATTTTATTTATGAGTTCTCCGTGTTTAATGCGGGTCATAGTCTAATTTATTAAATAAAAGAAATGTTGATTTAAATAACACTTTAATTACTCAAGGACTTTCGATTGGAATTAAAATCATTCTTATAATAACTTCTTATTGGTTTTTGACCGTCGATTGCATTGATAAAGAATAACAATTTTAAATTTTCTTATGATTAATAAATGAATATTTGGTTGATGAAATTAAATGAAATGACATCATGTTTCTTGCAAGAATATTAAAAGTCTAGACGTAGAGTCCTCGATTACTACATAAAAACAGTTTACATTTTGGTTTTTTCTCCTTGAACTTTCGGTTAGAATTAAAAGTAAATTTTAGGTTGTATAAAATATAAATTTATAATTCTAAAATTTATACGGGGCGAGTTATAAACGGAGTGGATCAATGATGATCCATAACCAGCCCTTTTAATAAAAGGGTTAGCAGGCGGGTCGTTAATTGGTTAACGGATCAAAAACTATGCTTCAAACTCATATATTTATTAATGGTTTGGATCGGATAAGGGTCAAAACCCGTTGGATTGTCATGTCTAATAAAAACACATCGATATACGTAGAAAAAAATATATATTAAAACTTAGGCCTTTTTTGTAAAAAAAAATTAATATATCAAACTTGTAATAGTTTGTCATCTATAAACTGAAATCTACATCGATATGTGTGGATGTCAAATCGCAATTTTATTTTCCTGAAAAATCATTTAATTTTGGTTTCTATGATTTAGCCGACTGGAGAGTAGCAAGTACTCGGGGAATATTCGGATTCGTTAATTCATGTAGAAATATTTTTAGGAAAATTATATATGTCAAAATCATAAGTTAGAATCTTAATTTGATTATAATATATGACAAAATTAGATACATGTGAATACATAAAAAATAAAATACACACAAATGTCTCACTTCATAAATAATTATTGAAAATTTAAGATATATATGTAGTAATAATCACATGTGTGTTAAATAATAAATCATTAAGTGTATTAGACATATTAATCTTGAAATATTTGATTTTTTTTCTCTTTTAATGAAAATTTTGACCCTTTGACCGATTTTAACCGAGTTGTCCGAGTTTGACCGAGTAGGCCCGAGTAAGACCGAGTAGGCCCGATTTAAAGAGATGTTGACCGATTTTGACCGATTTTTGACCAAGTTTGACTTAATCCGAGTTTTTTTGCCGAGTTCACATTACTCGCGTCGGTGGAGGGCCGATTCCGAGTAATCTGCCGAGTAGGTCGAATTTTACAACACTGGAAAAAACCAATTTTCATTTTTTTTTTTTGTGTGTTGAGAAACCATACCGTAAGATTTGGTTTATATATAATTTAGTTTGAGCATGCAACTTTTATACAAACATATGAACCATTTTTATAAATAATAACCGAGATGGATTGAATTCAATTTATTCTGCTGTTTTTTTTTTTCCATAACAACAATCCACCCATAAACAATTGGTTTTAAAAAAAAACCAAAATTCGTTCATAAATAAGTCATTCATAAAATAAAATAAAAAAACTCAATAAAAATTGTCTTTTAACAACTTTTTATAACTTGAATAAAAAAAAATAATAAAATAAGTAATATATCTTGCCAAAATTTCAGTTTTACCATCGATATATAATTACCTATTTGATCCGTACTTGCAAATGAAAATGGTCATGATTGAGATATTGATTAAAATAACCCATATAAATAAAACGTTTATTGTGTTTTGAAAGTAATTTTTCTAAATGGGTCATTCTTAAGTAATCAATTTCAAAGTGTTTATATCAATATTTTTCAATCAAATTTCTCATTCGCAACCATCGTAACGTAATGATTAACCATTTGTTATATTTTTATAACTTTTTTAAGCTTTTTTTTTTTTTCTCAAATATTCGAAATTGTTTATGTGCTTTCAAATCTTCTTTGAAATTCTAAAATAGTTATTGTCCAAAACTGAAATCCGAAAATTCAGTCTCAAGAGTATTTTTTGGTCGAAATGACTCTCCTGAAGTATTGGGTAATTAGAAAAAACATATATATTATATTAGAGAAATAAAATATTAACTTCAAATATTATTAGCCTTAAAGAATTTGAGAAAATTTATCTGATTATAAATCAAACAACGCATGAATCGTGTGGTGGTGGAATATCTGTTTGTAAAGCTTGGAGGCAAGAATCGTGTGGTGGAGGAACATCCGCCTGTGAAACTTTGATATAGGGAGCGTGTTCTCCACAAGTTCAATATATCTCTCTAACTTTCACCAACTTTTCTACCAACTGACTGCAGAGAGAAGACACTATAGATGGCGAGCATTATTGGAGTTGGGATTCCGTTCGGCTTATCATCACCACCGCATGCACTCAAGACATCCACCAGAGTCGGCGGAGTTGCGACACAATTCAGCCACTCCACACGGCGGATGGTGGCGGTAAAAGCAGAGGTTGGTGGTATAAACCCTGAAATCAGGAAAAGCGAAGACAAAGTCGTCGATTCCGTCGTCGTTACAGAACTCGCAAAACCCGTCACTCCTTATTGCAGGTCTCTGTTATTCCCACCTTTTTTCTAAATTTTGCATTCACTTCGTCGATTATCGCATGTTAAATCTCATTACATTAACTGATTCAACTTCTATTATCAACTTATTTGTTGTAGCTTCTCGTTCCTAAATTGGAATTAGGGAGGTAGCGTACAGATACCCTAAAATTTTAAATGTTATGTTTCATCTTCACAACACGTTAACACAGGCTGGGATTTATTTACAAAATTTAAATTCTCAAACTTGAAAATTGATACAAATTCTCGAAAACTACCTGTTTATAATTTGTAGGTGTTGGAGATCTGGGACTTTCCCGCTTTGCGATGGTAGCCATGTAAAGCACAACAAAGCTACCGGAGATAATGTTGGCCCTCTGTTGCTGAAAAAGTAATAAAAAATTATGGTATTTATGTAATCGTGATCATGTTTTTATTTGGTTAATTGCCTTCGAATAGTAATCTTTCATATAGAGCATGCCCATGAATGTATTGTGTATCCAATTCGATTTTGGGTTTTGAATATATTTGTTATTAAAGTTAATGCATGCTTCAGATATCTGAATGAAAACATGTTTGCTTTCAGATAGATATCAATAATGATCTTTTGAAAACACTGAAAATGGTGGCTTAAGCGACTTCTCCCTCGATATACACGTCCCTAGTTTTAGTTCTTGAAGTGATTCGTAATTAACATATTTAAACAATACTATTCAATGGATTAATGGAATGTCCGCCCGCATCTTGTTGTATTGAATTAATTAAAAGCCAAAATAATTGATTACGTGGAAATTTAATTAAGTTAAAGTTAAATTATTAGTTATCAAAATCTTATTGAGGGGAAGTATGTTAGGGTTTAGTAACACCTCATCTTTCGGATCTCCCAAATGTGATACAAGAGGTGAGGTGTTACAAGATGTTATAAAAACCAGAATTTAAGCTAATTAGGATTTGAGACTCGAAGTTTTAGGAACCCTCGGAGCGACTATCTCTTTACTCAATGCTCCACCTATGTGATAATCTGTCTTTATTTGTAACAATATCCTGTTATGGTCTTTCAAACACAATGTCGTTGTCTCTTTATCTAGTATCGATGTTGAGTAATCATATGGGTCGCTGATTATTGTCGTTAAATATATTTTGTTGGTTATGTACCACGTTACATGAGTTTCATACATCTCCTTGTTTTCTATGACAAAGAGGGTTTTATTTACATGTGCTATAATCTAGTTCAACATCAACAACCATAGAGATTGACATCCGCTTCGTCATAGGTTAGGTTGTTATGGGTCAGATTTAAGTACTTTACATTCCATCATCGTCTTAGTATGTTAACTCCCTCACCAGTGACTTATCCTTGTTATTTCCAAGAGTTTCAGTACAGTTTGAAAATTTGGACTATATACCTCCCGATAAACAATTGAGATGGTAGTGTTGTATTATTAATAATCCTTATGTGGTGTTAGTGTAGTTTGGTCGTATTATTAAGTTTTGTGTGGGCATGTGGCCCACTCTCTATAGATATTTGGTTAGTTGTTTAGCGTATCTATAATCCATTGAACTCTATAGAGTTCAATGAATTGTCACATTATCCATTAAGCATATATACAACATCACCCACAACCCATTAAACGCATATTCAATCTCAATCACCACCTTATTCATTCTATTAAACCATTCAATGATCATTCAACATTTCAAATCATCCATTCAGCTCTATTCTATATCATCACACACACTCCATTCAACTCTTATTTAATCTTAATCATCATCCTATTCAACTCTTATATTACTTGCATTGTGGGTACTCTTATATTATTGTATTTATAGTTGCGATTAATAAGGCGACTAGTATGAAAAAATATATCTTAATATGTTTGTAGCTAGTATTTTTGCATTATGGTTTAATAGCTTGAATTTTGGTAGCGAGTAATGAGAGAGTTTCAAATTTATCTTGTAATGTTTATATTTAATTATGTTCTATTTCTTGTTATTTAAGTTTTAGTATAAAACATGTTATAGTTAATTAGTTATATTTTTTCTAATATAAGGATTAATAAATATTTATGTACTTATTGGTTGCGTGTCTGAAAGTTGGAAATTAGTAATTTATAGCTGAAAGTTGGAAGTTGTAATTTTTATTTTATGTGGAAATGTTTGGAAAAAATAGTGGTGAGCCTTTGAAAGACATGAAAGTGATAGAATGAGGAAATGTAAAAGTTAAAAACTAAAAATTAAGTTTGTATTTACAACAGAAAATTTTTCTATAATTTGAATTGTTTTTCTTAAAAACTGAAATCTCTTAAAAGCTTGTTAACATTTCACATAACAATTATGTATAATTTTTGTATCTAAATTCGTTGTACACATTGATATAGCTTTAGTTATCCTATTGTAAGGTCTATTTGTAATAATGTAGGACCAAGTTATTTGGATTGTGAAAGTTGATTAAAAAGATGTTGCGGTTCATATGAAACAATATGGGTCACATCGTGTGTAGTTAGTTCCATGTGCATCGACACTGGACATATTTAGTGTTTTTGCCTTTTGTTGTAATGTCTTATGTATGTGTCAAATCACGATTTGTTTGTTATTAGAAAATAAATGCACATTACAGTTTGATAATTTCTTGATATATTCGATACAAAGTAGGCTTATATTTTAAAATAGAAAACTATCAACACCACACCCTCATGTCCAAAAAATATTACGATGTACCGCACTTATTGATCGTAAAATACATTGATATGAACATCTAGAGTTAGTCTTTATCTTAATAAAGAAGCGAGAAAAATATTACAAACGTGTGTGCATTGTGTCGTGTGAATTCCTTATTACACACGTTGTGTGTCTGTTTTGTTTGTTTTTTTTTAATATACTCCATTTTGGATGTTAAGTTGATAGAACTTTAGTGTAAAAGTTTTGATTCTGATTCCTTTCATGAAGACGGTAGGGTCCAAAAAAAAAAAAAAGCAAATGTTACTTTATTGTTCTAACGAAAAATATAATGAAGAGTAAATTTTCGGATTTACCCTATGGCTGCACAGAGTGGCTCGCGAGCTCCCTCGCCAACTCCCACACCATGAGCTCGCGCAACCACTACTTACCCAGGCGCTAAGCCCCTCGATTCTTTTTATTAATCAGCCCTTTGATTTGTTCTGTTTTGGTTGTTTTTATTTTATTTTATTTTTCTAAAATCCAAATGTATATGTCTATTAGATAAAGCTTAGGTGGAAAGCAAAAATATGATATTGCAATATGTTTAGTATTCATGCGTATTATTATATTTTATCCTTACAATAAATTATATAAGTATTTTTCTAATTCATAATAGTATTTTAATTTTAATGTTATAAAAGTATTTTATAAAGTTGATAAACTATATACTGTGAGTGATTCATGTCTGTTCCAAACAAAATACAAATGCAAAACATATTCAATTTTTTTAAACAGCAAATATTATATAAAAAAAAAAAAGTCACACGATCAGCAAGTGACTAAAACTCATAAAAACAAAAAACAATATATAGATCTAACAAAAAGGAGAGATACTCCACGCAATCCATCTACGACACACCTTCAAGGTTCTACATTTGAACCAAGTCAATGATTGGGTAACAACCTCATCAGTAATTTTTGCAGGATTTGTTTTTAACGCCTCAAAAGTATTATTATTTCATGCCTTCTAAATGAACCATAAAAAGGCATAGAACATCACAATAACTATCCCCTTTTTCCCCAAACAATTCCCCCAAGTAGCCGTGAAATTGAGAAATTCATTCAAACTATCGAAGTGAGTGACATGTATTACATACCATTTTAGGATCCAATCCTTAGCCTCCATTGCCATTGGGCATCTGATTAACAAGTGTTCGACAGTCTCGAGAGCAATACCAGATAAGGAACATAAAGTTGATTGTACCATAATAGCCCTACTTGCCAGATTGGCAGCCACCGATATTCTACCCAAGGATGTTTTCCACATAACATTGGAATTTTAATGGGATTGCTTTCGACTAAATGATTTTCGGTCCATTATAGAGAGTAGTTGTGGAAGCAATCTTCTTGCACAGTGTATTGACCGAGTATCTACCATCGGGGTTTAAATTGAAACAAAATCCTTTTTATGAATGATCGATATTGACATCCTGTAGCAAGAGTTGTAAATTAAAAAGATCAATCATGGTCTCGGCCTCCAAATTTTGTGATTTCCGTTTCAATGTAAAGCCTAAGATAGATATCCTATCTGAAACGAAGCAAAGTTTCACCCTTTCTAACTCGTATAACTGGGGAAATCATTTTTGTAGCGTTACAGGGCCATACCTTCTATCTTTCCAGAATATAATATTCGCATTCGATCCATGGGTTAAAGTAAAGAGTTCCTGATAATTGATGTCAAATTCAAGGAGGCTTTTAATGGCTTTGGCTATATTGCACCATACTTCGCTATGACATCCCTTGTTTTTTAGAACTAAAAAAACTTTTCTTTATGCTTTATAATCATAGTCCCTCAATCCCAAAATTATTGTTTGGGAACAAAACACACACAAGTTAAGAAATCATTAATCGCCATTAACTTTATTAAATGAAATGACAATTATACCCTTTTGTTGCATTTAATTCCATCATTTTGTTGCATTTAATTTCATGGTAAGTTAACTAATAATGAGTGGTATTTTGGTAAAAGGGATTTATTTGTAGAAGTAGGCTATTACTTTGAGACAAACCAAAAAGTAAACATAGACTATCAATATATAACGAAGGGAGTAGTACTTTTGTTTGCGGAAAATCCTAGTATAATAAAATATTTTGCAGAAACAGTTTCGTTTTATTAAAATATCTTTGAGTAAAGATGTTTCAAGATACAAAAACTCTAAGAATATCATAATCAATACATAACATTGTTACATCATAAATAACTAATGGTCCTAAATATTATTGTAGGTTGTCTCTTAATCACTCGACATCCTAATCAAGTTCCAGTAGCATTAACCCAGTAACCTATGGTGTGTATAAATTGAGTGGGTCGGGTTGGGAAACCCGGTGAGACCTATAGGGTTTTCAATCCCATAATATTATTGTGATAATCATTTATAATTATCAAACCTGCAAAACCAACTATTACCAAACAATATAGATATATCCATAACTTAGGTATCTAGAAAACATTACACCCATACATACTCATCCCAACCGATTCTCACAAATCCTAGTCCACGACTATCAAAAGAATAATCTCGCATGATGAATCATTTAGAGTAATGGTTTGAATACACGGTTAGGGACTTCTTTGGCTGGTATAATTCATAAAGTCACTCGAGCCATTAGAGTATTTATTGATTATGGCATCACCGCACAAAGCAGGACCGACTCAACCCACCATCTGATATGTTGACATAAAAATTAAACATGCAAATAAACAATAACATAAACACATGCAACTATTTACATTAGTCTATCAGTCTAATAGCTCACTACCGCATACCGGGCCTCATCCAGTACTCTACGTCACAACTGACTGATATGTGCATAATTAGTTAATTATTTAGTATACATTTTTAATCATTTTTAACTAATTATGTGAATAATG